TGGAAAAGACTGCTCTAGACAGCAAAATTTTCCGTTTAGTAAATATGCTCCTCAATGCGTCATTGTTTGATTACGTCATGGTACCTTGCACCACTTTGCTTGAGAGTCGATTGACGGCCGTTAAATCTGTGCTCACAAACGTCAAATATGAACGCCTCTAGACTGATTTTGTCTTGGCCATGATCACCGCATGGCTTTTGGAATGACAGGATTTAAATGACGTTACTGTGATGCCATAAATTTCAAAGTCACTGCGAAAACTATCCCCGATATACCTTTCCCCAATATCGCGGACGTATAGATCAGAAACTAGAGGGGCTTAAGTCTTAAAAAGGGTGGGATTGTGAACAGTATCAAAGGATGTTCAAGATGGCTATTTCAGTTCAAAACCCCACATAACCCCAAAACCCCACAAAACCCCACATGGAACACTCCTTTTAATGTAAAAATATCGGCCCGCCGCGCGCGTTCCATGACATCGTCGGTTGCCGCCAGCCGCTTGCGGAGGCCGCAGATCGACATACAGTGCTCCTCAAATATTGCCGTTGTCCCGAAACGTAGATCCATTAACCGCGCCCCGAAACCAGAAAGGCTAAGAAAATATTTTTGGTGTCAAAACACGCGCAATAAAATGCTCCATGAGCCACCAAAAATTTTGGCGTGATTTCACGACATGTCCGGGAGGTGTCCTCCAAGAGCATAGGGTGGGATCGCTCTCCCTATCGCGGCGAGGTTTGAAAACCGCTTCGCGATGCTGCTCATCATATTGCAACATAGCATGTTGTACATGTTAAACCCGCCTCCCAGCGTCGACGTCTGGCCATTCGCACCGATGTAGGCTGGCAGTCCGCAAGTGCCAACTCATCCTGATCAAGTCCAGTCATGCCGTGAGTCATCGGAGCCAGCGGCGGTGAACTGCGCGTCCAGCCGTCATCGCCGGAGAAACGGCACGGGACTTCCCCGGCGCGCCAGGCCCAAGGACCGGTGGCTGCTGCGCACGGCCTGCCACCGGTGAATAGAGAGCAGCACCGCTGCCGCGAGGCAGACCAATCTCTTGGCACGGGGCGCTCCGGCGAAAGCGGCCCGTAAAACGCGACCGCATCACCTACATGCAGAAGGCTGTCCTGCAACCAAGCAGGTGTTGGAGATGTTACCCATCTCTAACCGTTTGTGAGGTCACGGTACGTCACGCAGCGAATGTCTCGTGCTCGCAATCGCGCGACGCTCTGCAACATTATATGGAAAATGGACACGTGAACGGAATCCGTTATGATCAGTGTTTCCGTGCTGGAACGGATAAAATGGAACCAATTTTTTGACAAGCGGAGGTTTGCTGTACTTTGTGACCCCAAGGCCGAGAAATAGCTTGTGAACACTTATTGGGCTCGTCGACCGCAAGAAGCAAAACAAAATACTAATCAACGGCACGACACCCGCTTATAGCGCGCCACAGGTCTGTGGTGTAGTGACGTTATTCTGAATCTGGAAGGAATTAGTTCGAATACAGGTTAGATGAGGCCCTCGATGACTTGGCACAAGAAATGACAGCGGGTCCTGAGCGATGCCTTAACGGCATCGTTCCGATCACTGGAAGTTCAAAATTGCCGGTGGGTAAGTACCGAATCGTTTAAGTAAGGCTAAACCTCACCAATATGGTAAATCTGGTCATTTTTTGCGTTTGTAAAATAGGACACGAGCAGCCATGTGCCTGAGGAAAATCGTGCAATTCATCATGGGATAATTCTACACAATGTGGCGTCACTGAATTCATCTCTGAGATAATCTGCATAATATGACGTCACTGAACAATTAACAGCAAAATAGTCAAGCATGCTTTCAAGTAGCGGAAGAACGCACCGCAAGCAGACTGTGCAGAGTGACGCACCTCAAGGGCGGATTTTCCCACGCCAGTGACGTGCCTGGCCCTGGGTGTTCACGCGGTTCACGGTACTGCGCTCAGAGCTCGCGCCAGCCGATACGCGCTCTGTGATCACACACATGCCAGGGCTTGTGACGGATAACAGGAACTGGGGCAATGACGATTGATAACAGAGCGCGTGTTTGCTCACGCAATCTTCCGCATAACGGCGAAGTAAACAACTGCGGTGATTCCAATGACGCAGGTGATGGCGTGTGCCGTCCTGGCTCGAAGAAATGCGGGTTGGAGGCGGGGGGGGGGGGGGGGGGGGGAGGGGGAGGTGGTCGGTGAAATGTGCAATTGCGGAATTTGAACCAAAGTGCGCTCGTCAAGAGACCGCTGATAGGGTTTGCAACACCGACCTACAACAATGCATCGGAAAAAGGCGCATGCGTCAGGCATCGCACCGACAGGCGCACCAACCGATGGCGTCGATTGTGATGCAACACCGTTCCCTCAGAAAACACCTGAACCCCCACCTACGAGGCGTGACCCAGCACGAGAATCGGTAGCGCGGAGCGGCCCGACCTTGGGCCGAGCGGACTCTGCCGTGCGACTCCGAGCTGTTTGGGCCGTGACTCATGCATGACGCAAGACGTCTGCCGTGGAAGCCGCGGGACCGCCCGACGTTATCGCACCGGAACGGCCCGTGTCGTCACGGCTGGCGGGCAGGGTCGCGGGAGGTTCCGGCCACCTTTGCTGCACATTCGCACTCGCGCGACGATCGGGAGTGGACGCTGGTGCGCAGCCGGGAGGACGTGTCTCGGCGCGAGCCCGCAGGAGTGAGCAGCTGATTGAGGAAGTGACCGCCAGCGGAGCAGCGAGCAAGCGGAAGTCCGCGGAAGTGTCCCACCGCCTGTGGCTGGAAGCGCATTGCTGCACGCTCTGTCCTACTGGCATCAGGGAGGTATGTTCCCACCTGCCTCGTTAGAATGACAGCCGGCCACCGTGGCCGGAATTACTCACTTGTGCTATTCCCTTTCATTTCTTTTTTTATAAGGAGGCAAGAAGCCCGACGAACACGGTGGCTGTGCTAATAACCGCGCCAGTGTGGTCACTGTTGAGTGGCTGTCATCACGTCGATGAACATCATCTGTCTCTCTGCGTAATCTTTATAAGTCCAATTCTTTGCATTAATATTATTATTAATACTGTATCAATACAACTCGATGACCGAGCTGAACTGCGTTAGAACGGTTACATGACCCGCAAATTCGCCGCAAGCCTGGTGGCGAGGCTCCGGCACTGCTGCCGATCATAGGGCGCTCATCATAAGCGTCAAAGCCTCAGCCACCAGGTTTCATGTGGGTTCAATTGCTCGGAATCACACATGCTGTCGAAATAGAGCGCTGCAATCTATCAAACGACAGCACAAATTCAGTCCACCAGTACGAAGCAAAAACAAAAGCCGCAGATGCACACAGCCAAAGCTGATCCAGTTGAATAACCTTTGTTATTTGCGGTAACAATCAAGGAGTCTGATGGAAGGATTCCGTGAAAGATGACGTTTCGACAAGAAATCTGGGCTATTGGGGGAAAAAAGGAAAGCGGGCTTTGCACTCTGAGTCGCCCACGCCCATGCACGCACGCACGCACGCACGCACGCACGCACGCACGCACGCACGCCACGCACGCACGCACGCACGCACGCACGCACACACGCACACGCTGAAATCCCCCCCCCCCCACACCACACATACACACACACACACACACACACACACACACACACACACACACACACACACACACACACACACACACACAACACACACACACACACACACTATTGAAATCAGATGTGGCATCCGTCTTTTCACGTGCAGCGATGGTGACTTATGCAACCTACAATTCGGGCCGTTTCCTCTCGGTTTCACCCGTGTGTATTAAAGAACTACATGCATGCATGCATGGTCACTGACAGGACATGCATGGTCACTGGTTGCATCTCCTACATCTTGCAGGTAATGGGAATCAAGTCCACAGGCATCGCGTTCCGGCCTAGTCCGCATGGGTACGACGCCTACCGACCCGGGGACGTCGTCAGTGGCGTGGTGGTGCTCGACGTTAGTGGTCGGAAGCCCCACCGGCTGTCCGGTGAGTGAGCTTCAACCGCGCGCGATTCGTGCCGATTGTGCAGGGTTGGTCAGTGTTGTGTGCGAGCGCATCATGCCGATGCATATCTACGTTCTGCCGCCGATATTGCTGGTTTTGATGAATACGGATCTCATGAAGGGTCCATGCGGGTCATAGTTCTGCAGCGTGTTTTTATTTTCAGTGGACACTTCGTCAATCCTTTGTCGTCCTCAAGACAGGAATGACCTATGCATATATACATATATATGTGCATATCTGCATGTATTCCCCCCCCCTCTCTCTCTCTCTCTCTCTCTCTCTCTCTACATTATCAGCTAACAGAGGCGCTTCTGTGGCATGCGAATGAACTGAGGCATTGTTGTTTGTGATACAAATATAACACCAAGCTGGAATCTCACCACACGACAAAATTGATGTGAGCGTTTTAGTCACTAATTGTGTTTTCGTAAACCATGTTCCATGTGTAGATACAAGGTAAATATTTTTGCCACAAACTTTCCTTCGTCCGTTAAGTAGCTCAGGCTGGTCTTGCGTGTTGTTTCCAGAGGCACCCTGAAATAAATATTTTCCTGAGCACCAATTTTGTACATGATGGGTCAACTAGATTAAGTGTGCCGGCTAGGCATGGCCTGTTGCGTGGACATAAACTATAACTGAATTGTCAGTTCTGTTAGTTCAATTAGTTTAGTTTAATTTGTTCAGTTAGTCCAGTAATTTACAGTCAATACTGAAGCCTCAACTCCCACAAACTGAAGCCGAATAGTGCTGATGGATTTGTACCGTGTCATATGTCGTCCGTGCATCATATCATGTCGCGTCTTTGAGCAACCACTGGCGACAACAGCTTCTGTTCCTTGTCGGGGAAACCCAACCGCGCATCATCAGGCCAAATGTCATCCACCGCTTGGTAGTCCACTGCGTTACATGCTTGACCAACGGGATGGTTCCCCGCCGTGCTGAAGCCTGACCTTTCAGATGATATGTCGATGACAATGGCTACATGTGGCGTCACCAGAATTTGCCATGATTGCGAGGGCTGGGTCCAATGTTCAAATGACTCAGCATGGAGCTATTTCAACATGGCGCTGAATGCCGGAACAGTGAGTCCCGAGGTCATTGTGTCCTCCCCATCCTCACTGATTTTGGGAAAGTGCCACCTCCCTAAGCATTGTCGTATTCCAGGGGCATCCATCGCCGTGGAAGGCGTCGCCTCCACGTACTGGACGACCTCGAGCGGCGACGACACATCCTCCTACTCAGATGAGGTGTGGCTCATCAGTCAGAAGCTGACCCTGATCAAAGGCAAGTCTCTTCGATGATCGACCGGCTCCACCAGTGCCCTCTCGGTGGTCTTGCGCGTGTGTTCGCACGCACAACATGAATCAGTGTTTAGTCATGTTGTGCGTGCGAACATGGACCTGGAGGTACAAATGTGCGTGCGAACGTGGACCTGAAAGTGTAAATGTTTGCATGCAAACATGGACCTGGAGGTGTAAATGTGCGTGCGAACATGGGCCTGGAGGGTGTGAATGTGCTTGCGAACATGGACTTGGAGGTGTAAATGTGCGTGCAAACGAGGGTCAGGAAGTGTAAATGCGCGTGCAAACATGGACCTGGAGGTGTAAATGTGCGTGCAAACATGGACCTGGAGGTGTAAATGTTTGCATGCTCAGCGCTTAATTGGTCTTTGGCTCGGAGGAGAAGACCGGAGGACGGTGAACATAAATCAGGAAAACTATGACACGCTGTTGCATCTTATCACCACTCACTCCAGTCGTCAGGCCTGCATTCAGTCGTTAATGGTTCCAACACAATGTAGACCACTGAAACGAAACGCTACATGAGATGTTTCAGGAAAGGTGGTCTGTGGGTCATGAAAAGGTGGCCCGTGTGACATGAAAGGTGGTCTGTGTGTCATGAAAAGGTGGTCTGTGTGTCATGAAAAGGTGGTCTGTGTGTCATGAAAAGGTGGTCTGTTGTGTCATGAAAAGGTGGTCTGTTGTGTCATGAAAAGGTGGTCTGTGTGCCATGAAAAGGTGGCCTGTGTGTCATGGAAAGGTGGTCTGTGTGTCATGGAAAGGTGGCCTGTTTGTCATGGAAAGGTGGTCTGTGTGTCATGGAAAGGTGGCCTGTTTGTCATGGAAAGGTGGTCTGTGTGTCATGGAAAGGTGGCCTGTTTGTCATGGAAAGGTGGTCTGTGTGTCATGGAAAGGTGGCCTGTTTGTCATGGAAAGGTGGTCTGTGTGTCATGGAAAGGTGGCCTGTTTGTCATGGAAAGGTGGTCTGTGTGTCATAAAACGGCTGTGTCACGTCATCGCACTGCAGGGACACCATACTTGGTCATGCTGTTAACATATGATATTATGATGATTTTCCAAGCGTCCTGTTCACGAAAAGTGATCTTATTTGGCTCAAGCTCACGTAGCTCGAAAACGATTAAGCATGGCGATCATGCCGGCCTCTAGAGCACTTATACATCGATAGTAAAGCTACGCATCGTCTTGTGGCGTAACTATGCGCGTTTCCACATTTGCACGACAGAATTACAGCGGATCTACGTTTACTACAAGGTTGAGAATGCAGGCGAGAGGCGTTTTGGTCTGCTTCCATGCTATTACGAATAGCGTAAACATTGTTATCGTGCACTGTATCACTCCAGTGATTGCAGCACGCGTCTGCCATATCGTAATCACGCGACTATACAAACAAAATGCTCTTGCTGAATGCCAACATTTCAACCCTACATGCCATTCTTGACGAGCATGCACCACCGCTGGAACAGCCCTCGACCTCTTTGTTGTTCCTCACCCTGACCTTGTCGCAGATCCAGGGAGGGACCTGATGCCGGGTAAGCACCAGCTGCCCTTCAGCTTCCAGTTGCCGTCCCGCCTGCCGCCCTCCCTGAGCGCCTCGTACGGCAAGGTCAAGTACACCTTCCGCGCGCGAGCGGTCAGCAGCGGCCTGTTCTCTTTCAACGGCAAGGTGGACAGCAGGCTGACTGTGGCGCCCCACCGCGACCTCAACGAACACCCGCGGCTCGGCGTGAGTGCAGAGGGACCGCGCCCGGACTAGGCCGGAGCGCACTCGGGGTGGGCTGCGTCATTTGTGAACTGTTTGCCTGATCCTTTGTGAACGCATTTGCCTGCCGTAACCATTCGTGTCGCAGCAAGAAGTGCCGGGTCTCGCGATAGGGCGATTTAAATCAGCACTTGGTGCGCGCTTTTCGTAACCCCTCGTGTTGTACCTCAGAGTGTGACAGGGAGGGTACACAATCTACGCACAAGTCATTGCTAAGCTCAATTACTTTATGCCATACCCCTGATCATGACCAATATATAAAACACCCTGAGACGTTATATCGACCAAACCCCGAGTGGGATATGTTCGCATTCGCTGCTACTGGTATGCAAAGACATCATCTGAAGTGACGTCACCTGGAGCGACGTCATCCGGAGTGACGTCATCCGGGTTCGGTGGGGCTACGGTAGCTGGTTGAGTGCTTGCTGAAGGCTCCGGGTCCGTGTCTGTCAACACCCGACAGCCATAGCTTGACACCTTTGGCTGAATAGTGTATGGTCTGTATCGCGACCCTGTGTGTCGCGTACCCTCACCACCGGGCACCGCCTGCTCCCACGGCAGAAGCCGGTCACGCTGGAGAGCAAGACGGCCTGGTCGTTGTTCGGCCCGAGCAGCAAGCGCTTCACACTGACGATGCCGAAGAGCGGCTTCGCGGGCGGCGAGGCAATCGAGATATGGGTAGACGGCCCGCAGAGCGTGCTGGAGGCGATGGCCAGTGGCGACGGAAGACTGAAGCTGAAGAGGGTGAGGAAGAGATGCGTGATCCGAGCCGTCAGTGACAGTTTTGTGCTCGGAAATAACTGTATCATACTCGTATGATGTGATTGCCCACCTTATGTTTTTTCAACCATAGCACGTTTTACAATAATGACGTTTCCGTCATGAGGCGCCAATAACGTGCGTTTGACGTGACTGACGAAATTACACATGTGACGTCCATATGGGTACGTTTTTTGTTTGCTCGTGCCCCTCCATGACTGTTCAAGCTGGCTTTCATTTGGTTTATCTCATGACATAACCCCCACTCCTCCTTTTCTGCTCGCGACATGACGTTTCCACCTCTCTCTTCCCCATGGTCCATCCTTTCTTCATGACAAGGCGTGACGACCCCCGCCCTAACTCTCCAGCGGGACAGTGCATCCTGATACCCGCCCTAACTCCCCAGTGGGGCAGTGTTGCCCGATACCGCCCTAGCTCCCCAGCAAGGCAGTGCGCCCCGATAACCGCCCTAACTCCCCAGTGGGGCAGTGCACCCCGATACCCGCCCTAACTCCCCAGTGGGGCAGTGTAGCCCGATCCCCACCCTAACTCCCCAGTAAGGCAGTGCACCCCGATACCCGCCCTTACTCCCCATGGAGGCAGTGCAGCCAGCCTGTGCCTTCCTTCTCCATCTACCGTCGGCCATCCCTCTGTTGGATGGCTCTCATGGGTGAAGCTTTCCGTGTCGCATCATCACCGTGCCTCTGAAAGAGCATGTCTCAGTCCAGAGTGCCGGCAGTCCTAAGTCTCCACTTTTGCTCATCTTGATGTGATACTCATGTTCCTTTATTGCTCTCGACCTACGATGAACGCGTGCACTTGATGCAAACGGAGCTGTACATATCATCGGAGGATTGATGGCAACTGTGTAGGGATGACTAACCTCAAAATCGCTTTCCGTCACCCCTTCCCCAAGAAGCCCAGAGGTGTCACCGCTAGTGATGTTACCCCTGCAGCGGACCGTGTTCCGGGCCGGCGCGTTCACTCAAGAGAAGAAGCAGGTGCTGTCAGTGCTCAAGCCGGGCCGCGTCGCCGCCAGCTGGCGCGTCCTGCGGCTGCCCGTGCCCAGCGGCGAGGCTAGCGTCGAGGAGGACGTCTGCCGCATCATCACCGTCTCCCACTACGTCAAGGTCTGTGGCGAACCCGGTCGGTCTGCTCAGCATTGGTACCGGCGGCAAGGAAGGAGCCGAGGACTTTGTAGGCTTGTGTTTTCGTACACACTCACTAAAATACAGTGCTTCTCTGTGCTACCTGTTACCGCTGTGCGAACAGATGGAGCAGGCGTAACCCGCCAGCAGGCTTTTTCATGGTAGTCTTGTATGCAAGGCAGTCGCCGTACAATCCGGATATAAAAACTAGGCCAATATGCGCAAACCGTAATATACTTATTTACAGGAGGACCACATTGATTGTACACATGCAGTTTACGCATATCGCGGGAAAATGATACGCTTGTGATGTTACTCCCATTTTCCAACTACGACGGACACGTGCTGCAGTGTTGCCGCCAGATGATGTGGCCAGCCTGATACCCACTGAAAACACCAGCGCAACTGACGAGGCACCGGCCTTCACTGCCATGACTGCACCGACATACCGCAGTGAATTGCAACTTGCTGTGCATTTTAAACCAGCCACATCATCCAGCAGCAGTGTACCGACACAAGATTGTCCCTTGGAGCTGGAATACGAATGTAGGAAAAAGTCCGGAGTCCAGGCAGAGTTTGTAGCTATCTGGACAGCTGTTGTACAGGGGGAGCATGCTAGCAGGTCGTTTAGCGCCCACACACACACACACGGTGACCACAAGCTAATCCGGGTTAGACCGTTGCCTGGGTGTCCAGCGCCTTCTCTGTGACCGCGTCGCGGCAGTGACCAGCGGTGATCTCTAGTGACCAGCAGTGACCTGGTGCTTCACCACAGCTCGACACCTGAGGTCAACTGATGGCGGGGCATCCATGCCGCCAATCTAGCGTGCAAACAGATTATTTGAGGACACTACTGCCGAAACGAAGCGATCACGGCTGTCACTAGCAGAGTCTCGCAAAACTTCAGGGCCATGAGCCCTGTTGCGATGCCCCTGCCAGTGACCATCAGTGACCTCCTCGCCTTTCCGCAGATCTCGACCGGTGGCATTCACCTCCACGTGCCGGTCACCATCGGGACGGTGGCGTTGAGGCCCCACTGAGCGGACCGTCCGCGGCGCGGTACCGTCCCACAGCGAGCAGACGGCCCAGCAAACTCTCTCACGTCGAACTGTGGGCTACAGTTTGTGATTGTCCACAGCGAGCAGACGGCCCAGCAAACTCTCTCACTTCGAACCGTGGGCTGCAGCCCGTGATCGCCCACAGTCGGTGGAACCGGAATATGTGCCAGGACGTCTCATCGATGCTGGTTTTGTATGTGTCAACGGAAGTTGAGACGTCAAGACTGACAGACTGCGATTTTGCTACGTGAATGAACACGCTTGCTTCGAAGAGGATGTGATTTTGTTATCCTGCGAATCAAGATGGCGGGTGTTATTATTTATTGACTGTGTTGTATACTGGGGTGTATCGGCAATTGGAGTAGTATTTATACAGTACGTGCGTGTATTCCGTTTTTATGTTATATTTATATCCGTCGACCATTTTGTACGTGTGTAAAGACGTCTTATAAGAATCGAAGCCGGAGCACAAGGTCATTGGTGGTGCTTTGCATCTGTTTGGAGAGGGATTCAGCCCGCAAGGGCTGTTTCAGCTCTCTCCACACTGGACCAAAATCCCAAATTTTTGTACCTTGTTAAGATATGGTCCCAACATTTCGACGGGATGTATTTCTGGGATCAGAGTCTTCGCGATTGTGAAGCAGTGGTTGTGTGAGCCCAGACCTCACCGTTCGATCGTGAGGCTTAAGGCCACCGGCAGCAGGTCATCCCACCCAGAGGCCAATAGCGAACGCCTAAGTGACTCGAACCCACCCCGCTACGGGTTTGCGATTCGAAAGAGATGTGCTGTAAACAACTGAGCTGCCAAAATAGCCATCAAAGGTCTGGACTGCGGACCTTTGGTTTATATCTTTATTCGTACTCGAGCTGTGATGGGCAGCGTTGTCTCTCCAGGTTGCAGCTAGATGATATGGCTAAGTTGAGAAGCATGGACAAACATCATCTCACCACGGTATCGAACCCCATCCCTGATAGAAGCGACTATTGCTTTGCCACAAATAAAGTGGAAGACACACGTACCGAATTCGTTGAGATCGTAGAAGAAAGCTTTACGGTTTCAGGAACTGTTATTTTTGACCTCGCCCCCCACCAAAGAGCTTTGTAATGTTCTTCTTATTAGCCAGCATTTCGAGTACAGGCCTAGGCGATTCGTGTTTTTCTGTTCCAAATGCAACTCAGATGATGTTTTTGTTGTGATAATACGGCTAGCTCGAGCCATAACCGTCGTAAGGGCTTAATACACGGCCTCGTGCGGTAGGAGCGCTCAATGATCTGTGCAGTGGAGCTGTCCTGCGCGTGAGCACAGAAATATACCAATACAGACATTGTTGGTGACGCTACGTTACTGTCTTCTGTTCTACTACCTCGCCTTCATGGTTTGGATGTGCGGAGCCAACGGGTCACTACACTGACTATGCGCGATGATCGAAACATTTTAAAATGCGGTGAAAAATGTTGAAAAATACTTTAAAACGTTTTAAACATCCTCCATCTGTGGCTCTCCTCAGCAGCGTAAACATGATTTGATATGCTTCTATGGCAACGCACTATTTTATAATTTCTTCGTACAAAGTAGATCATCGTGTCATATAATCGCAATTTTCAGTTGTTTTTACTACTTTTGCAGTCACATTTGCTTCATGATTGGGTTAAGTTTTTTTAACTGCATGGCCCATTTGAGGCTTTTCAATCTATCCATAACACTGGATTTTCAAAGATGTCGAATTAGGGTGACCTCGGTATCAAAAGAACAATAAACCGCTTTTCGGGATAAGGTGGAACGTAGTTGCTTAAGGCGCAACCGTTTTCTGTGATTGATCGAGCAGACTTGAAACTAAATTCGCACACGCCCTACCTTTCGGAATATGCTCTGCCACCAGCACTTTCTTCTTCCCATCCAGCCAAAGACACGAAGCGTTATATTGCAATATTTGGTAAATATAAAAATTTAAGTGTCACGTCTCACAATCCCTTTATGGTCACACTCTCTTCATCGCCTTTATTGTCATTTATCGGCCAGCACAGAATGCTTCCTGATATTTAAGGTGCGGTCCCAGTCTTTGCTCAACAGATGGGACCCCTAGCTAACTCGGTGCCCCTTACCGACAAAGGAAGCTCTCAAGCACTGCGGGCCCCCTCGCCGACAAGAGTATCAACCAATGCAAGATGCTTTCGACCAGACTTTGCAAGCCCGGTCTTGCTCAGGTTGGAAAATGGGCCCACATACTAACGCGGCTCGACTGTGCGGTATTGGTGGCCTTTGACCGAATGAAGGGCCGCTGGGCAAAAGGCCCTCAGAATGCATGCGAAAACCGCAATGCTGCGGGCCTTTAGTGCGACCTCCGGCCGGCCCATCGGGACGTCCATTCGGGCCCTTGCCCGTCGGTAGAGAGGTCCCGAGAGGCCCCTCAGAACACAAGGGGAGGGGGAGTGAATCTGCTTCCCCCAGCCTGCATCCTTGCTTCCTAGGTGAGAAAGGAACAGCGGAACAGGGTGTAGAAGGGAGCACGGGGGCCACACGTGAAATTTTCTAAAGCATATTGGAGATGCGATTGACATTTTTATACCTTATTCTTCCCAAGCAACGCCGCAGATCTCGTACTTGAGACCAGTTTTCATATAAGTATCGCCATATCTTTAGGTCTCGTTCACTTGCAACGGCACTACGGGAGGGGGGGGGGGCTGGGTCCAAGTCTAGTCGGGTCCTGATCTTTGGTCCTGACTGATATTTCAGGTCACTACCCTACGGGCGGCGATTCTTTATGTGACCTACAGCCAGTCCTTCGGGCCCTTATACCTTCCAACCAAACCCTTGATCGTCGTTTCCGATGGGCCCCCCGGGCCCCTCCTCGGGCATCATCGAACACTGCTTTTGGTAGGCTCGGACCGCTTACGAACACAGGACCCCCTGTAAGACACTGTGAGCCCATGATAAACACCGGAGCCCGACCAGTGTAAATAGCTGACCCCGGATTTGCAACTGTTTGGAAAGTGGGCTCTCAGGTCCATACCGACACGGAGCCGACTGTGTGATACTGGTGGTGCTAGGCCGACATATAGGTCCTTGTCGACTTAGGGGTCCCTGATCGGTGCAAAGGGCTCTCTGACTAACTTGAGGGCCCATCCCCGCAAATCGGGCCCCTGAATAAGACTACGATCAGTTTTTCGTGCACTTAGGCCTTCCAATCGTCCCCTTAATCGCAAGTCCTGAGGTCCTGAGGGGCACTTCGGGTCCCTCTGAACCTAAGAGGGAGGGGGGGGAGGCGTGCCCCTGTACCCCCTGCCGGCGCCACTGTACCTGCAGGACACTATTTAATACAAATTAACATGATTCTAATAGTGATTAGTTTGGTTGGCTACTAACTACGGTACCAATAGTTAAGATAATTGTTCCGCATATGTTTGGCCCAGTATTTCCTCCTAGCTCAAATGCGTTGAGGGGGCTCAGCAGAGCATTGGGAGGCTCAGGTCCCCACGAAAATATGTAAAGTGGCGCATCTCGGATGACGCGTGGCGTAAGCGTAACAAGGGGAAGGGGGAGGATGGACAGTACAATGTTACGTTCATGTGTGGTTGCAGTTCATGCCAAAAAATAAAATACAATTAAAAGTTAGAGCCAGATGCCGCGACTCCCTGTCATGGCATGGAGCACGCCATGATTTGTTTGCATCTCCAGGTCAACTAGGAAACAATGGGACCTTACTTTTCGGGACGCCACACTAACACAGTGTAGTCAGAGGGAGAGGGTCTCGCCCTGCGTAACCAGCGCGCGGGTTGAATGTGCCAACATTGCGTAACGCGGTTTAAGGACGGTCCGTAAGTATGACTGGCAATCACGCCTAGGCGTAACGCCACGTTGTTGATTCCCCTTTTCCCTTGTTATCCTTCGGTTACTCTCCGTCCATACGTCCCTCACGCTCCATGGGAAACGTAATATATGGACGTCTCCAAGTTGTGGTGGCTTACTGTATACCCAAAGCGCTGACTTGAGACGCATTCAAATACAAGAAACACAAAACGTGCAGAAGAAACGCCACATTCATGCCAATGATGCATCGGCATTTCGATGGAGTACTTGATGATGATGCTGCTGTCCACATAATTTGCTAGTAATTGTGGAATTCAATTATGCTCGAATGCGTCGCTGCTTCTCCCAGTGTACCTCCATGGACTAAATTAGGTGATTCCATCAACTCCAATAATCGGACTTTCCGCGCTCACAAACGTACGCGAAGTAAGCGGCAGTTCCATACAGACATAGCTCACAGACCCGTAGCCAGGCGAATGCATTGGGTGCCCGCGCATCTCCTGGGATCTGGGATGCAACACCAGCCTTGTTCCGTCCAACCCTAAAGTTGCACTTCGGGCTTCAAGAAGATTGGAAAAAGTCTTTTCTGGTGTTAAGATTTTACTTGGTTTGCAACAATGTGTTAAAAAAACGACTGAAAAATGAATTGTCCCAGCCCGGTAAAAGTGTATAAGACAAGTGTCCGCCTTTTGCTGGAGTGCTAGGACACCCTCTCCCCTGGGAGCTTGGTCTGGCTGCGGGCCTGCATGCGCGTCATTCGGTACTGCAAACATACCTGCTGTAACGCAATAGGTTTTTTGCCTCAATAAACACTGCCTGCCATGTCACAAAATAAATTTAGAAAATCAATTAAGAGTTATATATCTATCTTTAGAAAGAGAGCGCATACCATGAAGATATATCAAGAAATATAATTATCCCAAGGTTTTGCTTCCTAATCTAGCGCAGCTATGACAATATTCGCCGGCGTTTTAGCGAGCAAGACTGCTGGAGGAAAGGAAGCGGGGAGGGGGCCGGAGGGATTATTGGGGGAGGGGGAGGCGGTGTGGTGTATGTGCTAACGGTCGAAGGAGGATTTTCGTGTAATCGAGGACTGCGCGTGTCGTTCATGCTCACGTGCAGATTTCAACACAAAGCCAATGTCTAACAACACTAGACCGTTACGGGTACGTCCGATGCTTGGTCCTGGGCGTGTGGGTGGGTGTGACTTGGGCGTGGGATCTGACGCTGCTTTGGTTGGCTGTAGTTAACATCTCTTGTGTCCTGCATTATGTATTATATGTGCTGCCAGTCTGTAGTGCAGGTGATATGAGACCAACAACTTGTGTTGTCACTCACCTGCATCAGGTAATCAAAACTAATGGTATATGCTCTAAATGGATTAAATCACTTTGCCAGGGCAATAACAACCACTCATTTATCTGGATGGCTTAAGTGTAGAGAGACACACTGAGGTCAAATAAGGGAGACATGACAGGAGGTTGGATAAGCTTTCTCTGCCCATGGTGTGATTACCATTGTGGAATGAGTCAGGCATCTGTGGAAAGATGCATCCTACCTTCAAAATTTCTGCTGAAAGTGATGAAAGGATGAAGCGGGACACAATACTTGTTGTTGGAGAGTGGTACCAAATGATTGCCCCTAAATTAAAATGTATGTTTGCATCTGGAATGAAGGTCAGAACTTGTGTGCTTTCAGGACTTTAATACCTTGGGTAACTTGTTCCAAGAAGGTTGATCTAATATAAATCTGTTTGCCCTTAAAATTGAAATGAATCAAAAGAAACACGCTCTGGATAACCTGACTACTCCAATTAATAATCTCTTATTGCGTGTTTAAGGTCACTCACTACCAGTGGGTTTGAGCTGCACAATCTGTACTTATTACTCATGAGTACTAGTATGATATTACACAAAATGTGAGTGGGCTGGTGCAGATTATGAAGATGTTACATTTAAGACAAATGTAGTTGTCTGTCAAAGAACATAGCACACTAATACCCATTGAGAAATGGGCTGTGGAGGCATGGAGAATACAGAACATACACACAAACAGAACATAACTGTGGATTGGTCTCCAATGATCATGACCCAGTGTGCTGAAGTCATGCCTGTGGATGGTTTGTGTTCAAGTGATGGATATCAAGAAATTGTATTTGTTCTCAATACAACATGCAACATTATGCATCACAATATATTTCAATGTATGCCAAGGTGTCTGCAACTGCAGATGTATTCATCTGCACTTCTTCAGATGGTGCCATCAGTTTGTTTTCTTCTCATCAACTAAAGGTACTAAACCCTAAATCTCATCTTGCCTCCAAGTTCAATTTACTCAGAACCTTCTAGTCACAACTGCATCTATTGAATTTGATAAGGGCTAGAGTCCAATTCAAAGAGATGCTGAGGTAGTGGCCATGCTAGTGAATACCTCAATGTGGCAGTCAAGATGCAACTTGATATCCAGGCTACAGTATTAGAAATAATCTCTGATTGCAGTTCTTTATTTGAAAGCATTGG